TTCCTATTATACATCTCTTCTGTGGACATCTCAGTTTGAGTTTGTTTATGTGTTGCTTTCTTGCCATGAATTTTACTGCTAGAGTCAAGAATATCTTCCTATAAACAACCAACAATAACTTCCATATCACCCCTTCTATTCAACATGTTGTTCCGTTCTTCAAAGTAAGATCTCATCGAAGTTAAACTGTTGTCCACATAAGATTCCATGTGAGGTTGCATTTCTCAATGGTGATCTTCTTGTCATTTTTGTTGTTGCTGAAAAAATTCTTTCTGATTGTCAAGAATTGCTAGATAAGTAGTTTCTTGTCTTTTTGATTGTTTAGCCATCTGTCCACCAAAAAAATCCTGGCAGAAAGCTTGATTTTCCACATATGCAGATTGCATACCAAATTGATAAGCAGAGTGCAGCTCTTGATATTGATGCTCATGTCATTTTAGCTGTTTTTCAAACATTCGCTTCTGATTTTCAAGATATTCAGCCTGTTGCTTTCTTGATTCTTCGACCATTTGTGCCTTCAAGTCATCATACATACCACATACATACTCTCTTTGCGTACTGGACATTTCTTCTATCTGTTCTTTTCTGACATAATTACAATCAATAGATATATAATTAGGCTCCACTCCAACTGAAGCATATATTCTGGAAGTACCAGCATCATCAGCATTAATTTTTTGCTTGCTATGTGAAATTTGTAGTACAATGTTGCCAAGCTCTCCAGTGACAATGCCGTCTAATGTAGTGTGTTTATTGTCCAATGGTAACGATAAAGCTGTGTACCACAATGTCTGCAATTCTTCTTCTGTTGGTTGCAATACCGCTAGGACTCGAATCTATAAACATAATAAAATATTAAAATTCTATGCTATACCAAAGTAGAATAATTAAATGTATAACTTATTTTAATTTTTCATATAATTATCATACCTCGTGTGTAGACAAATATTATTTTACAATTTTGTCTGTCGATATTTGCCTCGACTTCCATTTGTACATTCTCGGCTTCCAAATTTCTTTCCAACCTTGGGAAATACTTCGTATATTCAAAATTGTAAAATGAAATTGAAAGTAAATATTAAATATATATATGACATTAAACTAAACAATATATAAAAATTTAGTAAAAAAAGTTCCTGAAAAGTAAGAGGATATCCATGTAGCGAATATTTACATTCCCTTTGCTCAGCTTGTTGCATTCTCAGTATTCTTTCAAAGTGTGATTGCTGCAGTGAATTCATCAAAACAAAGTATGCCTTCTGGTCCCATGGATACAAAAGAAAATCGTCAAATTGCTCAACCATAAATAGCATTCTGTAATCAATATATCTTTCAGTTGGTTTGAGAACACACTCTTCAACAAAACCAATCCAAGTTTGAATTTATCTTCTCGATCTTCACATAAATTGAAGGCATCATGGAGCATTCTCATAGAATTCCTTTTCACGCTATTGAAATACTGGTTTCTAAGTCGAGGATTACTAAGGTCAAGATTAACAGATGGTTTGTGGCAAGGTAATCTAGTGATTAAGCAAAATTCTTGCATTCTGAAACAGACAAGATGGTAATCAAATCTTACCCACACTTCATTGTTTTTACCGAAATTCACAACTCTCATTATGAACTCATGTATCAACTTCCTACTCAATTGTTGTTCTTCGTCTCTATATATGAATCCATATAGAAATCTATGAAAATTACTGCACATTAATAATGCTTGTTCGTCTGCTTGTAACAATTCTATCAAATCTCTAACGTGTTGATGATTTAGATATTGACTAACAGTAGCACAGAACCATTGATCTGGAGACAAGACATAATCTAGAGACATTTGCATCAAATAACAAAACTTATTTACAAACTAATTTTTGGAGAAATTGTGATTACAAATAAAAATTAAAACATATCTTGCACAAATATTTTTTGCTTTATTCACATAACTAATTAATAGATAATTATTTACTGCTATAAAACAATTTACGTCAAATCATATATATTTCTAGATAATCACAAGAGATTTGGAGGGATTGATTGATTTTAAAGAGAAATCAATTAAACTATAAGCAAATATATGAAAAGTACTCTAATCAGGCATAAACTTTTTAGTAATAGATATAAAATTATCTAAACAATATATTCAAATTATTTTTGATTTTATGTTAGCCTATTAGGTGAAAGAGAGATATATTATTGAAACATCTTTTATTAATGAACAATGTAAATCGAGATAATATATTTTTAGTTTGAGTATGATAGGAAATCCTATAGTTGTATCAAGTCTAAAGTTAATTATCCAGCTTATTACTAAACCTTTTGATTTAGATTAACTTTGTTCATCGAATTTTAGCATTTACCTACTTGTTTTGCTATGTCAATAAGTCAAGAGTTGGCGAAAACCTTTGCTCCATTTAAGAAAGAAACCAGAAGTTATCAATACATGCTAGATCAATCAACCCCTTGCAATCGATAGATACAAACAAGTTCACTCATCATAGCCCAAATTCCCATAAAACTCTGAATTCATGAAGGTTTTGTGCTTACATTCATGGTGGTAAAAGATACAGACTGAAATTTCTACCTACCAGACTTTCACATTGTTTCATTCTATACCTGCCAGTCATATACTGTATGTATTAATTGAACTGTTGAATTTTTTTATATTGTGCTTGAATACAATTTGATTCTAAAGTTTATGAAATATTAGAATTTATTAGTTATATTTTATTTACATTTTAAAATTGTCTTAACTTAAAGGTATAAGTAGAATTATGAAGATCTGTATTAAATAATCCATAATCCAAAAATTATTAAAAGAAAAATGGAAAAAAAGGACACTCCCATATTCGTTTCCTGAGATATTCCATTACGCAATTGCCAATGTCAAAATGACCACGAGCTTTAATAAGCTGCTCAAAACTAATTGAAGTGTCAGAAATTCTTTGATTTTTTTGACGAATACTCAATTTATGTACAGAGACCAAGTTAGAAATTGTCATCTTGTTTTGCAGACAGATGTATAACAAAAGCTTTTCTACTATGAGAAATTTAAAGAATGAAGAGCCAACATGTCAAGCTTTATTCAACCTACCTAGCATGTAAATATACTCAACAAAACAAAACATTGAATTTTGAAAATAAAAGAAGGCAGTATAAACTCCAAAAATTAACAATCAAAATTCAGCTAAACCATATTAACACAACAAAAATTTGTACCAAATAATTTTTTCACAAAAAAATTTTCACGGTAGCAGGAAAACAAAATAACAACAACAAACATAATAAAAATAAAATCATGTAGATTGAACAATTACCTTATAATTTGTTTTTCTGAAATTGACTTAAGATTTTGGGATGAAAGATGAAAATTTCAGCTACAATAAAACTGAAATTCAGCAAAGAAATGACCTTTCTTTTATTCACTTGAAATAATTTTTTCAGAACTTTCACGTGAATTATCTTTGCCATCCATGTAAAACAAAAAATTTCAAGCAATAAATTGTTTTATAAACTCATTTTCTATTTCATTTATTTTTTCACCAACCAACCAAAAGATTTGTTGTTATCTATAGATTTTTTTTAAAAATCATTAATAATAATTAATGCATTTAGTTTAATTACTAATTTAATAATTAAAAAAAACATGTGCAATATAAAATGTGCGGAGGACTCCACGCAGTCTGTGCAGAGTGTGTGCGGACACTCCACACATCTATGCGGGAGTGTCCGCACATTGTGTGGGCTCCGTCTCTGCACACTGATTTTTTTATTTATTATTATTTAAATTTAATCATATAGCCTGGTTTTGTTTTGTTTTTAATAAAAAAAATATGCATTAAATATAATATAACTAATAAAAAAATTTATTGTGTGGTGTTAAATTTTTTTTAAACAATCATAATAAATCTATTGCTAATAAAATTACAATATTTTTACAAATAGCATAAAAAAATATTTTTATTTTCAACAAATAATACATTTAAAAATTAGCAATTTCATAACCATCGTTCTTTATATTTTTTTTAATTTCCAGAAATACAATTATAAAAAAAGAAATTCAATATTAAATAAATTTTATAGATTTATAACAAATTAGCAGCAAAGCATACTGTGTATGCAAACATACCGTGTATACCATATTTGCAGTTTACCGGTAACATATACAATATGATGCAATACGGTATGCTGTATGCTATCTACTGTACTTGTATCTTACCATATTGGGCAATTTATTTATTTCCAGCTTACTAAATGCTGCCTACCTATTTGCAAGGAAATTATCGTATCCAATGTATTTGCAGCAAGTATATACTGTCTACCGTATATATACTAGTTTTTACACTTACAAATACGAGAATGCAAATACCTACATTCACTTACAAAAAAAAAAAAAAAAATCATTTTTTCAACATAAGCATAAAATAAATATTAAAATATATAAATGACAATATAAACGCATATTATGTAAGTCGATTTATAACTTTGTGCTCAATCTTCAATTTTCAATATTACACAAAATTTAGAAATTTAATCTTCACATTCAACTCAATTATATGAAAACAGGCAAAACAGTTTGTATAATCTCATATATTTCTTAAAATATACAAGCATATTTTTTACTGTTGCAATTGTAAAAATAATTTACAATTATTTTCTTAGAAATATTTCTAGATATTCCTTTAAAAACTTTCCTAAAAACTAAAATTCATACGCTAATAAAAATACGATAAATATAAAATTTGTTCAATGCACGCGACAATAACTAGTCATTATATAAAAGGACGAGGTACTACAAAATCACAACGGTTTTCAAAGGCGTGGGCTAGATGTAGAAAGCCCAAAATAGAAAAAAGGGACCTAAAATCGGCCCACTAATTCAGAAAGGAAAATCCTAAAAGGGGCCCACTAATTCATAAGTTGTACCTTTACGGTAAGGCTAGGGCAGTTTTGTCAAAATACTGTTGAAATTTTCGAAATCCCGAAATTCATTTCCCACCCAAAAAGCAACCGCCAAAATCACCCTACTGATTCGAAAAATTCCGCAAAAGAAATAAATTACTGATTACTCCACCACATGCACACACATTTTTCCTTGTATTCATCTCTTCCATTGCTTTTGCATTTCTAAGGTATATCTAATTTTAAATTTTTGTTCGTAGGCTTATTTTACTAGGTTAAAGTCGTAATGCGGTTATCTTATTTGGTAATTTTACGTTTTTTTTTTTTTTTTTTTTTTGGGTAATTTGTGGTCATATGTTTGAAATTTGTTAGATCTATTCAGAATGTAACGGAAATAATTACTAATCGGGAAGATGATATAAAAAGAAAGGATATTTACATGTACATATATATTGTATTGTCGCTGAGTAATTCTTGGCTAGGTATGGGATCGTTATGTTATTTATTTGTTGATGATGGTAGTCAAGGCAGGGAAAATGGCTGGAAAAGGTGGCAAGGGGCTTTTAGCGGGGAAGACGACCGCAGCTGCTGCGAACAAGGACAAAGACAAGAAAAAGGCGCCGACTTCTCGGTCAGCTCGTGCTGGTCTTCAGGTAAAAATGATTTAATATATGCCGCCAGTTAGATCTATTGGATTAAATTTAAGTTGATAGTTGTTGAATTGTACTTCCATGTCCAATTTCTTGTTCTTGAAAAAGCACATGTTTTTGTTAACTAGATTAATTTTAATCTGTGGGTTAAAAGCTAAAACTGTAAATTTTGTGAGCCAGAGAGGGATTCTTGCGAAGTGAGAATAACAGTGTTAGTTGAAATATAGTGAGTAGGACCTGTTACAATCAAAGGCAAATTGTGGTTTTGTATGATGAATATGTAGGACCTAATTGAATTGGCGAGTCCTTGGTTGCTTGTGGTTATATGCTGCACTCTAACTGCATGTTTGGTATGGTTCATCGAGTTGTAATGGATGATACTATGGAGAAAAAATAAGTTAAAATGTTATCCATCTTAAGTGCTGCGACAAAACATGCCCTTAAGAGCATTAATACAACTCATAACCATTATGGCAAGCCCTCTCTGAACTTTTATTCTAGTTATATGATGCTAATGGGAACTGGCAATGCGGTCATTTGTGTTCTGGATCTTGGGTTTCTGCACACACGTGGGTGACTGTGGATGTCAAGCCCTTAACCGTAGTAATATTGCTGATCCTGCACGAAATCGTTGCAAAAGTTTATAATGCAATCATCTTTGTGTTTGATTGCTAAATTTAGATTTTTTGCATGGTAACATCTGTGGAAGTCTTTATATTATGGGAGGGTTAAGGTTTTGCCTTATTTAGTAGGTTGATTTGATTGTTTTTTTCTCCTATTCCTTTCATGTGATAGGGAAATGACATACTTGTAACATCTGTCATCTTTTATCATTTTGGCTGTGTTTTTTCTGCAGGGTGTTGTTGCTAAGTTGCATCAGCAATAAATCTTTCTTCTTTGTGTATTCAATCTAATTTTTACCCATGCATTTGTTTTTGTTCATTGGAGTCTAGTTTCCAGTTGGTCGTATTCATCGTCACCTAAAGTCAAGAACTAATGCCCATGGAAGAGTTGGAGCCACAGCAGCTGTTTATTCTGCAGCAATTCTTGAATATCTGACAGCAGAAGTGCTCGAGTTAGCTGGAAATGCGAGCAAAGACTTGAAAGTTAAGAGAATTACACCTCGGCATTTGCAGCTGGCCATTCGAGGGGACGAGGAGCTAGACACCCTCATAAAAGGAACCATAGCTGGTGGTGGTGTGATTCCTCACATCCACAAGTCCCTCATCAACAAAACCACCAAGGAGTGATGTAAACGTGTTTGGCTTACTGCTGTTGAACAGATGCATGTGTTTATTTCTTGATTGTGTTCGTTTCTCTTGTTCTTAGGCAAGACTGATAGGGACTGCAGGTTGAATTTATAATTTAGGTTACCTAATTGAACTAGTAGCTATGTTTTGATGATGTTATTTTCGTTTTAACATTAATATTAGTATTAAAGTTTTCATTGTATGACTATGTTCGTACCATTTGAATTATCACGAGTTTCCTTCTATGAAAATCCTTAGAGGTGTAAAATAAGCTGATTCAATATATTTCATATTTTTCACTACTACTAGTCCTGGCAGGTACAGCCCATGCTGGTCGGCTGTCTCGGGTTTACCTTCCCAAAAAGTCCTACTCTTGAAGGCTATGTGTTAACAATTGTTCAATGGCCAGACTTTCGGATTATGTAAATTTAAGAGTTTTAACTATTCTTTTAGTGACAGGAATAAAATGTTAATAATTGCATGTTGAAAGAGAAGTATACCAAACCAGCGGAGAAACCTTAAACTTTTATATAGTTCTCGTCTTCTTGATAATGAGATTTTTAATTTTTTATCTATATCGGGAAAATGGCAAAACAAAATATATAGCTTATATCTCCAACAAGCCGGCCCTTAATAAGTTGTCAAGATATTATTGTTTTGTTATATATAAAATTACTGAAAAATGTTGTCGAGTACTTGTACAGAAAATGACATATATAGTAAATTATATGAAGATAACCGGATGAGAACATAGTTATAGAACAAGAATGCAAGAAAAAAACAAATATTATGATCAAGTTAAATTTAGGGAGCTAGTTTCGACGTAACTCATCTAAACAAGCATTTAAATAAGGAAAAATAGTAATGATGTTGAGTGTTGTCGTGTCGCAGGCATTCACTAGGATCGAGGTAAATTGGTTGAGAACCTATTCTGTAAATTTCATATTACATCTACAATCTTTGTCTACTCGGCCAATTTATTGTGACCTTGTTGGTATCATGTATTTGTGTTCCAACTCGATATTCAACTCTAGATTATAACTCAGATATTTACTAGTTAGATCAAGTGACATATTCACTGAGTCATTTATCTTAATTAGCATCTAAGAGGGAAACTCAACCTTGGGAACATGTAAATAATTGTATATATCACCACCATTCTGCCAAACCAAATAATCTGTACATGCACCTCATCTTTTTCTTTTTTTTTTTTTTTGACTAAATTTGACCAATACTTGAGTAGGCCCCGTTAACGGGTTTTGATAGGATTATAAGTGAATGTGATTTACTATGATAGTAAATGTTTGTAACATATTTGGTTTATCAAAATTATTTCCCAGTGAATGAGAAATTAGTATCGAAATTTGTTATCTTAATACTTGGATTGTATTTTAAAAGTTGGATTTGTATATTGGAAGAAAAATGAAAAAACATCTATTCATATTTCATATACATTGAGTTTGATATTCTGATTGGGCCATAAGAAATAACACTAATCTTTGAGAATCATTTCTTTGACAAATAAAATAAATTAATTAATCATATTTAATCTTCCAAATTGACACTTGATTCAACTATTTAATGAAGTAAGGACTTACTTATGGTGGGTAAGTAATTTTTTTCTTAAATTGTGATACGTGTCATCGTCTTCTAGAAAACTGATTGAAGGATCGTGTCCCTTTCAAGGGTATATTGTCCACAATAAAACCTGTTTATTCAATCTTTTCTGTTCCAAGTATTGTGTCTTCTTAAGCACAACTTTTGGCTTATTATACACTCCCATAATCCTACACAATTCATTCATCGACCAATCATTACAATTTTACACTACGTTAGTCCTTCATTCATAAATAGAATACAACATATTTTTCTGGTTCACCATTTCTAGTGATTTAAAATGTTGATACCGCAAGGAGAGAGTAGTAACTTGGGAGATGATTATCGTTCAACCATAAGCACTTGTGTAGGCAAATTTGTTTTAAGAATAAAGAGTCAAACTCTTATCTCGATCTTCATATTCTTCCTTCTACGTGTCTTAATTAGGTTTTGATTTCACCAAGAGTTTGTCTGGCACAACTTCTATGAAAACAAATTTTGCTCAGACTTATTTTCTACTATATACTTTCTCGATAATAGAATTTTACACGTTGACCCATAATTTTTCTTTACTTTTTAACTACATATTCTTCAAAAATATCATTTTCCCTCAAAATATTCTCTTATATTTGACTATATTTCGATTGATTAAATATCAGTAATGCTATCTTGACTAGCATCAGTGTATCTTGTGTAGAATCTTCACTAGTCCACCAATCTGCTTTGACGTTGTCGATATCATGTATCTATTTGCCATTTCGATATTCAATTCACGTATCTATCCGTCAGTTCAAATGACATAAGAATTTTTCTAAAGGTACAGATTTTATTTAACAGAATTAAAACAGAAAAACTGTTGTCTTCCTATAATTGATTGCTGTCAAAAACTATCTTAATAGCAGCCAATCACAAGGCGACAGCTATATCCCCTGTATTAATTATGTTACAAAATTTCGTACATGTAACAAAGTTCATGACATAAACCGCCAGTATGTCATCAAGACTTTTACGACCTTCTATCTCAAATTAGCATCTACTAATCTTGCGGGGGACATGATTCAATGATGTAACTTGTATCAATATCCCCATTGTGCCAAACCATATGATCAGTTCTTGCACTTTTCTTTTTCTCGTGTCTGGGCAGAAGTAGTAATTAATATAACCCTTACCAGCTGGGAAAGTAACAGAAACATTCACAACCCAAAAGCCATATAATATTTATTTAAAATTTGCTCCCAGGGCACATCTTCAAGTGGTAAAAGAGGAGGGTGGAGAAATCCAGTTTTGTTTGAGGCTGCTGCGTCAAGGGTTCGAATCCTGAAATATGGATTTGGCTCTTGGGTAAGTGCAAGTGTACAAGCAGCCTTCCACCCTGTATCATTGGAAGCATAACCTGCGATTTACCTCCCTCACGATGCTCCAGGGTAGGGGTCGTGGGGGACCCTTAAAGTTAGGGTTTAACCTTTAATATTTATTTAAAATTTACTTTGTACCTACTTATTTACTATTTATGTTGTGACAAAAGTGCTATCAAACAAAAAGCATCTTTGGTTCGAACCCGAATATGTAAGCAGGTTGTTTGATTTCCTCGAAAAATTAACAAAACACTATTAAAAAAAAGGGGAAAATGAAAAATGTTATGAAAATTCCAACTCGTTTAAGAATCAATGTAGCAGAGTCTTCTTAATATGCTCTTACACAATTTTTTGTTCTCTTCTTCTAACCCAAATTTCCTCTTTAACTATTCCATCTTCTTTTCAAAATTCTCTCTGTACAAGTACTTATACATCTTTCTATTCGGTGCGAGGTGGTGCCAACATGGTTGCGATGCTTGTTCACCAGTGCATAAGCCCTTTACCGGCACGGGTCGACCGGAGGAACATGCAGAAGCCTAGACATTATCCCTTTATTTCCTACGTTCTTACAAAGCCAAGAACCTGTACAGAGATAACATCTGATGAGTCTAAGAATGTTTACAAAGATAACTGGTTTGATCTTCTCGCCATTAATCATATCTCCAAAAGCTTTCAAGCTTCAACAAACCTGTACAGAGATAACATCTGATGAGTCTAAGAATGTTTACAAAGATAACTGGTTTGATCTTCTCGCCATTAATCATATCTCCAAAAGCTTTCAAGCTTCAACAGGTTCTCCCTCTCTCTCTCTCTCTCTATATATATATATATATATATGGTCTGTATCTCTCTCTCTCATATACACACAGGATTCAGAAGCAGCAAGGGGGGATATGATGGCTTCGTGGAAGCTGCAACAATGGCGACAAAGTTGTTTACTCCAACTGGGCAGCAGAGAATTGTTAATCAAACACTTGATATGGCCTTTCCTAGGCCTATACTTAACATGGCAAGTTCATTTTATCCTCCAAAAATATATGTTTTGATCATCTTCATCGTAATTAAATTCAATATTAAATTTCTAAAAAATAGTTGGCTGAAGAAATTAAAAAATTTTTTTTTTTAAAAAAGGCAAGAGGAAAGGAATTAAACAAAATTGTTATATTACCTTATAATTGTTTTAATTTCTAAAATATAATATTATTTTGGGTCATGTATCATAGCTTCAATATGGAAATCAATTTTTTTAATGGAAAATAGATCAAACTATATTAATTCAACGTAAATCCTTAATATGATGATGTAGATGACATGTCCTTATTATTATTATTATTATTATTATAGGTGATATCATGATGATGCACGAGAGACTAAGAATGCAAAATAGTGAAAAATGATATTTTCTTATTCTTTCCTGATAGAAAGAAACATTTTGGAGGTTAATCTCAACTGATAAATTGGTATTTTCTAGCCTTGAATAAACATTTTATAAGCCTTAGGCAATTGAGCATGGATATATCAGATTATTCACTTGCAATTGACTGTAGCAAGTCCTTAAAAACAAAATATTCAGAATAAAAAAAGACAGAAAAGTTTTATGTTGATAATTCAGTTGAATGTTCACAAAAAGCAACCATATACACGCCGTAATTGGTGTGTGTTCATATTTAACCACAGATTAGGACCCTGATGCCACAATCTAGATATACAAGGGAGTTCTTCGCTGTCTTCACGACGATTTTCTTTGCTTGGCTTGTTGGTCCCTGTGAGGTATGTTCCAAAATCATATTATTAACAAAATAATGCAATCAAAACAGAAACATTATGGCACGTTGGATTGGAAATGAAGAGCCATGTTTAAGGAAGAGAGCCTTCCTCAGTACGACATACAAATTATAACCTATGCATTTAGATCATGTATGGAACGGACAGTATCAGAAACATGAAGATGTCATTAATACTGTGTACCAAACATGCATTTAAAGAAACTTCAAATGATTATAGATACATACCACAGCTTTGTGAGTGTGGTTTGTGCGTGAAATGGTCAAGCAGTGGAAGTAATATATGTCCTTTTTCTCTTGACTCAAGGTGAAAGAGTCAGAGTTCAATGGAAGAAAAGAGAAAAATGTCGTCCATATAAAGAAATGCAGGTACCTCATGCACTTTTCTTTCAAAATAAATAACCATAATTTCCCAATGAGAACCTATATACCTAATTGAAACAACTTTAAGCTGCAAAAATAATATATTTTGGTTCTCTTTCTCTACTGTCATCATAACAAAATCTAAATTAATTATTGTCGTCTTTCTCTTTTCTAGTCTTCATGACATCTTCAATGTGATCCGCTCATTTTGTTCCCAATAATTTTCTACAGGTTTTTGGAGGAGACCAATTGTGTGGGAATGTGCACTAACCTATGCAAGATGCCATCTCAAGCATTCATTCAAGAGTCCCTGGGTATGCCCACGACCATGGTGCCCAGTAAGTATCTTGCGATTTGCTTGTAACCCATTTTTAATCCTTTGATCATACAACCCTGATCAGGCAGAGACCTTCCCCTTTTTCTTTTTTCTTAAAAGAGAAAGCTCGGAAAGCCAAGCCCTTGCCATCAACTTTAAAAATCTAGACTAAGTTCATATAGTATTTCATGTTTACGTATCGTACAAATTAGAACCCATATAATCCAAGCCTTAAATTGTTCATAGAAAAATAATTCTGATTTAAAGACATCGAAGGACAAAGGAAAAATGGGATTCATACCCTGACGAGTAACAGTATGGGCACTAAAACTTACTGAACTTCCAAATCTATTAAATGGGGGGCCCCATCCATAAGCCTACTTAACGCAGAAAATAGCTCATCATAGCTTCTTTGAAACTTCCACTATATAATGCATTACGGCTATATATAACTTAATTCTTTATATATTATAAAGCTCGTACCCAAAAAGGAAAAGGGGGAAAAATCTAGAGACAAACCAGCAAAGGAACCGCTTTTTATTTAAAAAATTGTTATGTCTCAGCTAATCATCCTTCCATGGCCTATTACATGCATGTGGTGTCAAAAAAATGTTAAAAGGCCGGTAGGCTCTAACACCTGCAAAAAAGTAAACAAGTAATACTACGTTACCACTACCTAAACACAAAGTGATGCTTGAATCAGTAAGTTACAGTCAATAGTTCTGCAAACTTAATGCATCCAGTAGATATATGAGTTTTAGATGAACAGAAAAGACTTTGTCTTTTCCTTTCTTTTTTTTTTTTCCTGCAGATTTTGAAGATATGAGCTGTGAGATGATATTTGGTCAGCAACCTCCACCACCAGCCAGTGATCCAGCCTTCACACAACAATGTTATAAACAATGTAATTATTTAAAAATTAATTTATCACTTTCTAATAATTTTGGAATTGCATAGCAGACTTTTTCATTTAGAAAAAAAATATGGCTCGAGCTTAGCCGGTCTATTCTATATAGCCAAATTATAGCAAAATTGCCTGCCATAAAAGTGAACAAAGATGAATAAAGGTGATGGGAATATTATGCTCATGCTTCTCTATGTCATTCGCGCAGGCAAGGCAACTCAAAGGCATCAGAAAAACTGCGCTAGCTCATAGAGTGTAGCTGTTCAAAAAAAAAAGGGATTATACGAACAAAGAGGTGAGGAAGGAAACGCTCATAGTGTTTAACAGGATCACAGTTATTTTCTAATTTATTTAATCTGTCGGATATATCTCTGTAAGTTATTTCCATATGATTTATCATACAATTCTTTCATGATAAAAAAACTGAAAATTATAAATTACACAGCAAAAAACAATGAATTGATTTACTCTGGGGAGGCTTCCAATGCCAGGATATTCCATCAGCCATCAAGCACTGGATAGAAAATACATGTTATCAATTTTGAAGTTTTCAGCCAGTGATTAAATAATATGTTGAAGAAAAGATTGAAATGATATACATGTAGCCCTCTCTAACCACTCAGTTTTTATATCAAGCGGTTTGATATGAAATTAGAGAACTTAAAGGTCTTGAGTTCGAGTCTCGTAGCCACCCATTCAATGTAATCGTGCTCGCGTAAAGTTTTGATGGGAAAAATGAACTCTGTAGTGCAATCAAGTGGTTTAGTATTATAAAACACTTTTTGATTGTAAATAAGACATAAGAATCCTGATTGCAAGAAAAGCTGCTCCATCTCTCAAGATAGCCAGACAATTTCAACAATATTTAACAAGATCTTTCAATGACACAATTACTGGAAAAAACTATGCTATTAATAGCTAAACTAGAAACAGCAATTTAACAGTAGTTACTATCTGTGAGTCTGCACCAACAGTTTTGTGCGAAAGAAATTTAGACGACGGTGTGATTGGTGTCATATGAGATCATGAAAGAAATGCATACGATGTTAGCTCTCCTCAATACTCAATCAAATCCTCTTTTTGACGATTGAATGCATTTCTATAGTCCCATAATTAGTAATGCTAGAACTCTTTCTTTTGTATCGAGGATCATCAAAATAAGCAAGAATACTAATGAAAGAAATGCTTGCATTGTTAGCTCTATTAAGATATATAAGTTGCTATATTTTACTGAATGGTTCTTTGAACCATTAAAAAGTGAAAACCAAGGACTTTTGACACCCCAGAATTAATTTTTTAATTTTTAATTTTTAATTTTTTTTTCAGTAGATAAGACGACTGCAGAACAGCCGGACAATTAAAGAATACAGTTTCATTTCGAAAGCAATGTAAAAAGCTGTTGAATTAACTGATCAAGCAGATTTACAGGTTATTGAATCACGTCAATCAACCATAGCTTATTATGTCATATATATGAAAAAGGGTTCTAGCCAGTATATATATAATATGACAGGAGGATCTTGGTGCAACTAATTAAGTGAATTATCAATAGAAGGATTAAGAAGTACGATGAAATTTATAGTCAGTATCAAATCTGAAAACAGAATGTTGATATTCATGAACCAAAATCGAATGGATATGCTAGTGGTTCTAATATCTTTGATGGTTCTCAGACTAGATAGACACCTATAAGACATACTAATTTACCCTAATGACCAAGCCAATAAGATTTTCTAGCTTGGAAAAGTTCTTTGACTCGAGATTTATTGTAGGGTTTAAGGACAGCAAGGGTGGACCTACCAAGTGTCTCCCACTTCACATAAGCTCACAAGTGACCAAATTAATATTATTCTGCTGTCTTTTCTGTCATATTAAGAGTGTAAAGCACTCACATAATAAAATTAGGGTCATTAGTGCAGCACTTGGTGGATCTGTTAAACAAATAGCAAAAGACAACTAAGTCTCGTTCACAAAATTTGGCATCAATCAAGAAAATGTCATCATTTTAATCGAGGGATGATATGCTTATACGCACATAATAACAGGCATACAAAATCCACTAATGCAAGGAGCTCATACCTAGTACTTAAGCACAGTAAATCTTCAAAGGAAAACTTCAAATGTAGCATTAGCAATCATTTATTTATTTATTTTTTCCCCAAATACAGAGAAGAACTTTCGGTTATTTAAATAAATTCAAAATGAAAAGGAAATGAAAACAAAAAACCAATCTCAAATTAAAAACTTCTACTAAAAAATCAGACAAATTTTAACCGCCACCCCCACCATTTTTTTAAAAACAATTGAACCTAAATTAAAAAAATGCGATTATCTACATAGAATTTTTATAATGTTCTGCTTATGATTTCAACGAATCAAAAGCTCAGAACAGACCAGAGACAATTGGAGCAGGCATTATCACGTTGTATAAATTTTTGAAGCATCATCACTGAAAAATATATTGCTAATATATATAAAAATTGAAAAGATAACACCTGAATAAAATTAAAGAAACAAATTACCTAATTTTTTTACGGCGTGCGAAGATTGCTGGTCTAGAGTCAATGACCAATAGTGTCTTGTCTTCATAGCCAGTGTTCTGAAATTTGAATCGGACCCGGTTCAGCTATATGATGGTACCTTCCAGCAAGAAAGTGCGCTTCTTATTTATTAGGTTAAATCCAATTGTCGGCCCAATAAGCCCAATCTGCCTTATAATAAGGGAAAAATTCATGGGAAAATTTCAAAAGTAAGAGTTTAAGAATCGCACGTTTCAAAATCAGGAAAATAAGTTTCAAATTTTAAAAATAAGATTTTTATTAAAATTTATTTATAATTTAATAAATAAATAAATTAAATATATTTAGGTCACAGATCTATACAATTTGATCACAAATTAACAATTTAATTAGTCACAAATCAAAAATTTTATATCAAAAATTATTTTACGATTACAATTCAAAAATTTTGAAGGTCACATTTTTGTTCATTGGTTACAAATCAAAAAATTAATTAGTTACAAATTAATTTTTAGTCACAACTTATAATAAATCACATGTTATTTTTCGATCACGAATTATAAATTTTATAGGTCATAGATTATTTGTCGGTCACAGAATCAAAATTTTTATTAGTCACAATTCATTTATTCATTGTAAATTATTAGATTAATTCATTATGATTAATTTTTCGATCACAACAAGCACCCAATTCCATCTCATCCCACCCACGACCACCATCACGATCGCGACAATTATCATCACTATCACATCACCACCACCAAATCTCGCAAAACCACAATCACCATCCAAACACCAACAAAATCGTCACCCAAATTTATTTATTTTAAAAAGTTGCCCAACCACCCATGACTAGCGCCTCGACAACCAACATCACAATCGCCACCTCATTGCCCCACCCAAAATAGTTGGTCAAAAACTCATACTACATACTAATCGCAACTGTAACCACTAGGACAACACCATTTGCCTCTGTCGCTACCGCCAACACTACCATCACCATCACCATCGCCATTGCCATTGCCACCGCAGCCGTCGCACCACCACCACCTCAATTTTCTAACCACCAAAAAAATTCCCCAAAACCACCGCTCATGTGTCCTGTCTTCTACCGACTAGATTAACCCACTGCAACACCGCTGACCACCATATTTTCACCATCACCTTTCCAAATCAACAAACAAATCACCAAGAGCCTCCACCAAAATCATATCTGCCCACACCTAACAAATCAGAAATGTTTGGGTCAAATCTAGCCGGTTCAGTTTTTAATTGGATGGATTGCTCCGGGTACACAGTGGGCATAACCCATTCTTTTGGACTCCGAAACTACAGAGGCAGAGCACTGCCATGGCATCTCTTGCCTCTCTTCGGCGTTTACATAACAAAATCTCTCGTTCTCAAGCTTTTGACGTATAACAATAATCCTAATTTATCGATCAAAATAACCAAATCCTCAAATTATATCGCAGCACTGCAAGGAAGCTCCTCCAAAAGCTCTGGCTGTTACCGGCGTCATGTTGACAAATAGAGCCGTCTCTGACGATGTTGTTTTCAGCAGAGAGAGGCGAGAATATATAGAGAGAGAGACTTCCGACAGAGAGGTACGAATAGGGAGAGAGGGAATTGAGGGTGAACTGATAGAGGGTTTGAAGTTGTGTTGGTAAATTAATTAATTTTTACATATATTGATTAATTAATTTTTAAATATATTAATTAATAAAAACATTTGATTTTTGAAAGAGTAAACTTAGTATATGATTTATAAAACAAAATCTTTAAATGTATTAGATTATGTAATTTCTACAAAATTCATAGTGGAAATTATGCTAATCCATATGTTTTAAGATCCAACTTTAAAAATGAGACGCAAAGTTTGTTTATTCAAAAATTAGACAATATTTCAATAATAATAATATTATTATAAAATTAAGTTAATTTATATACCAACCTCCATTTTAACCCACCCCACCCAACCCTCCCCACTTAGTGCCCTTAATTCTAATTTCAATTCTCTCTTCTAGATTCCACTTGTAGCGGCGTCGTCACCGGTGTGGCACAAATGCTCCAGATGCCACCCCACCTCATAGTCTTGGGTATGAAAGCGTAGTAACCCATCGTCACCACCCCGTCCAACCATTGTGAAGACTGATCCCAAGTGACCGACATGGCACCACCACCCACCCCCACCTCACAGTCTTGTGTTAGGTGATGGTGGTTGTGAAGCTCACTGCCAGTCACCATTGTCGTTGAGTCCCGTCACCCACCCTCAATCAATTTCACCCTAGAATGAGAGTGAATCACCGTGAAATTGATCCACCCTTGTTGTGCCGACAGTGCACTAGAGATTTGGGTGGTGTTTTGTGTGGTGGTGGTGATGTTGTAGTGGTAGTTATGATGGTGGATCTGGCAGCATAGCTATGTGAAGCGGTGATGATGGTGTATCAGGGAGTGCAGCGATGTGAAGCGGTAGTTGGTGCATGTGGTGGTGGATTTGGTGACAACGGTATATGGTGGTTCGTCATGGTAAAGATGGTGGATCTAGTGGTGACAGATCTGGATTTTGTGGTGATGATAGTGGATATGGCAGTTGCAATGCGATGGTGGTACAAATGGTTTGATGACTGTGAGATATTGGTTTTGGTTGTTGTAGTGGTGGCGGTGGTAGCTTCCATATTTTGACGACGGGAGTGGTGGCATCGATCATGGTTGTGGGTGTAGCGACTATGGTGAGATGGTGGTGGCGGTGGATCTGGCACGACGATGTGACGATGATTTTCTAGGATATGTTTATTTGTTTGAGGTGGGGTATTACTATCGGGAGTGGTGGTGGTGGTGATGGTGGTGGTTTTGGCGACGACGGTAGCGATGGTACTGTTGGAGGTAATGGTGAGGTGGTGTCGCAAGTGATGGTGGTGGTCACTAATTATTTAGTTGACCGTGATAATTAAATTTATTAATCTGTGACCAATAAACGATATGTGATCAATAAAAAATATAAACCTTGACAAATAAATAATGTTTGAACTAAAAAATTGTTAATCTTTAACCGATAATTTAATAATTTGTGATTGTATAATAAGTTTTGATTTATAATATTTGTGATTTATGACCGATAAATAAATCGCGACTTATAAACTTTTGATTTGTGATCGATGAACAAATTGTGACACATAAAATTTTTGAATTACGACCGTAAAATAATTTCTGACATAAAATTTCAGATTTGTGTCCAAAAAGTAAAGTGAGTAACTAAATTATTAATTTGTGATCAAATTGTATAAATCTGTGACCTAAATATAATTAATTAAATCATAAATAATTTTTAATAAAAATATGATTTTTGAAGTTTGAAACTTGTTTTATTGATTTTGAAATATGTGATACTTAAATTCTTACTTATGAATTTTTTTATAAATTCATATATATATATATATTTCATTGATCATAAATTCTACAAGTCGCAACTTATTTTATGGTCACAAATTGTTAATTAATTAGTCACAAATTAATTTTCGATCACAATTTATCAAATTATTGGTCACAACTTAGTTCTAAGTCACAAATACAAAATTTTATAGGTCACAAATTATTTCTTGATCACAAAATCAAAACTTTTATTAGTTACGCATTATTTTTTAGTTACAAGATATCCAAATTATTTATCACAACATTGTTAGATCCACCACTAGCATTAGCGCCACCACCATTTCCACAACCAACAACCACTAACAACATCAAACTGCCACCACCACTGCTCCAAAATGCTAAAAACCAAAACCACCACGCCGTCACCACTGTTATACCAAAAACATGTCACAGAATTCTCCTGCTACATCACCTACAGCCACCATCGAAAAGCCCCACAATCTCTTGCAACTTCATTATCCTTCGCCAAAACTTCTACTCAAACCACAAGACACTCACCGCCCACCCCGACAATTCTCAAGCCGGGTTTTTTCTCTGTAAATTTCATAGATTAGTTCATTTAAAAAAAAATACGATGACGATGGTCGAAGGTTGTGGTGACGGCCGATCAGATCTGTAGCAAATGAAAGAAGTATAGTTGGCAACTACGTGCAGCCTCACGCGACACTGTATCCAAACTCCTTTTTCGTTTTGATGACTTTCCATATCTTCTTCAGCATTTTTGCAGGTACCAACTGTGAGGTGGAGAGAAGGAGATGTAAGAATAGAGAGAGAATAGATTGAGAAGATGAAGAAAGGTAGAAAACAGTGGAAATGGTTTTAGGATTTGGGAAGAAAAAAGAGGTGGGTATGGAAAGATATAGAGGGAGACAATGAAAAGGGAAAACTAATTAAGGTTTGGGATGAAAATTATATATTTAAATATGAAATATCTAATTTGTGAATAATGAAACATCCTCCTTATTTTAAGAATAATGATTTTTAAAAATAGGATGGGATATAATTCCACTTAGGGCCTGTTTCATTTCATCGATTTTCCATGGATTCCACCTTTTGGCCTGTTTGGTTGCCATAATTTTCTTGGCAATTCATTTTCCTTCTCCTCACGTGACTCTTTTTCCTTGATTTTCCAGCTGGTTTTTTGGATAATTGAAACAAATTCTATCCGCCAATTGTAACAAAATTTACCCCTTTAATCGACAATTTCCATGAGAAACGAAACCAACCGAACACCAAAAGATATAAAATTTCAACATTTTTCAGGTGGAAATTTTATACCAATCAAACACATTTAATCGATAACTCTCAAGAAAACAAGTTCTAGGCAATTCAATTCCTTGAAATTCGTTTTCTTTCCATTCAAATTTCATTTTTGCAATCAAACGTACCTTTATAATAATTGCCCAAAAAGTAGGAATTGGGATAGTATTTGTCGTATTTGATCTATTAAAGTGATCATCTTGTTACTAGTGGGCTCAAGAATTTTATGAGGTTTATTTACAGCAAACACATTCTTTTACTTCTGTTAAATATTTGGTAGTGGAAGGGTTATTTTGATAAGAACAAACGAAATAGCGATGTTTAATTCACAGGACCGTTATTAGACAACAAAATTTGGGAAAAAAAATTATGATATACAAACCACAAAAGAGAAAAAATAAATTCGAGGCAAGTGATAATCACTCTTTCCTTAAACAATTT